GTTGCGATCCCGTTACCGGTCAGTAAAAAAAGACAAAAAGGAAAAAAAAAAAAAAAAGACACAAGACCTCACTGCATCACCAAGAGGAACAGGGTGTCCTTATGTAAGAATCAAGAGCAGAACATGCACATATAAAACCCCCAGCCCTGAGCCCTTGTGAATATAAGTCCAGTCATGCCCACCAGAGCTAACACAATATTTGAAAGGGCAGCCTCAGAATCTAGTACAGGGCTGGGTTAATTAATCAAGTTCCCAAACAAGGAGGAAGTGGTAGGAGAAAGGGCCCCAGCTGAGTCTAGAAGACAACTGAATTGTCGATGGCACTCTGCCACCTACTAGTGGCATGACCGTGACTACATCTCATTCCTCCAGGTCTCAGTTTCTTCATCTGCAAAATTAAAGAGTTGATCTGAAAGATTCTCAACTAGGGGGATGTTCACCAGGGTTTTTGTTTCTCCGTATACTGATATACGGAGAAACAGGCTTATTAAAGCTCTGTTCTCATACAGGACCCAGGAACCTTTACATTGAACAAGCTCCAAAGGTGGTTCAGAAACACATCATTGGTTAGTGCCTGTGCACACATGTACTGGCTCTCCAAGGTCCTGTTGGAGTTCTAAAGTCCAAGGAATCAATGAAGTCATTCAGAGGGAACCACCCACATAAATGGGCCAGGGCTGGGGAGCTAGACCCCGAGTCTCACAAAGACTGGCAGTCACTCATTGTAGTCCACAACTGGTGCCCCATAAATGTTAGGTCAAGCTTAATTTTCTAAATGCACTTTTATACCAGCTATCCTCAAATATGTGCGGGTGACCAAAGGAATACAGTATTCATCTGAAGGAAGTATCAGTAGCCCAAAGTTCAAAAGAAAGCCATCCTCACTGCTATGGATTGAATTGTGTCCCCAAATTCCCCTGTATTTGAAGCTTAATCCCCACTGACAGTGTTAAGAAGGTGGGAAATCCTATTATGGTAATTCAAAGGTAGGGCATTAAAGAGGTAATTAGACTGTGAGGACCATGCCCTAGTAAATGGATTAATCCATTGATGGTTTAATGGTGATCATGGGCATGACTCTGATGGCTTTAAAAGGAGAGTGCCTGAGGAGCTCGCTCTCTCTCTGCTTCTGCCATTTAACCATGTGACACCCTGTTCACTGAAGTCACCACCAAAGAAGGCCCTCACCAGATGTGTTCCCTGGACTCTGGACTTCCCAGCCTTTGAAACTGTAAGCAATAAATATTGTTCCTTTACAAATTAACCAGTTTCAGGTATTTCTGTTACAAACAACAGAAATGGACTAATACACTCACTTTTCTAAATAAGAGGGCCAAGGGAGCTCATCATTAATTTGTTTTTAATACTTGAAGAAAACACTTATAAAGCTAAAAGTTTGTACCTCCTAGGAATTTTAAGAATGGATACCCTGGAAGAAACCAAGGAAGGAAAAGGAGGTACTAAGATTTCAGGGGCTCAGTGGGCATAGGGGGGCTCAGCAGCTGACTGCAAGTGAACTTGGGAGACTGGGAGGAAAGGGCCCCAGAGGAGAAATGGGCACATGGTGGGGTTGAGGCATAAAGGGCATCCAGAGAGGGGCCGTGGGCAGACAGTGAGGAGGGAGCGTGCAGGGAAGCGGGGAAGGGAGGGACTGCCCTGCAGAGGGTGGCTGCTGGGAGCCCTGGCGTTGGAGCCCCAAGTCCTCTGAGCTGTGAAACCTCGGGCCAGTGAAGTCACCTCTGAAGCGCAGAGGTTTTGCCTCCATCAGCAGTGGCAATGCTAGTGCTCCCCACAGAGTTGTCTGAGGATGAAGGGGATGGAATAGACACAGGAGTGAGCACAGTGCCTGGCACACAGTGAACACCCAGAGGGTTCACACGGGCTTACCACTGCCATTTGCTACTGTTGCTGACACTGCTGCAAAACAAGAAGGTGAAAGATTCAACCATGGGGATGGAAAGAGGAAGGAGCCAGCCAAGAAGAAAGAAGGGGGAGTGAGAGCAGGAGCGGCAGGAGCCCTCTTTGCCAAAAGCCACAGAAGATAAATTGTTAGGGGTGAGTCTCCAGTGTAGAGAGGTCAAATGTAGAAACAGTTACAGATCCGGTGATCAGGCAGTCATGGATGACTTCTTTTCATTGGATAACTCTTGAAAACGAAATTTTTAGACAGTGAGAGTACAGGTTGAGTTATAATTCTGTATCTGAAATAATTTGCTCCTTGACGGTGTAGTAACCTGAATGAGAGCCTGGGAATACTCACTCTGCACAAATACCAGAAAATAAGCATGCTTTAAATAATAGCTATAATTAAAAGGAAGGCTCTGTCTGCCATAAGAACAAGAAGCTGCTGGCCTTCCTTCCTCCCATTTATTTCAGACCAGCTCTTGCCAAATGCAACAATGCCACCCCGGGCCTAACTATTCCTTCCTATACAAAGACAACATAGACCGTTCGTGGCTATTCTAGAGTTAACCATCTTGATTCCCCATTACCCTTCTGTCTGCCTTTGGGCTATTTCACTTCTCATTTCCTCTTGTAGACAAGAGGTGATCACCGAATGAGTACCTTATGGAATATATTTACGCCTTTAAATGTTGGATAAAGCTTGGAAAAAGCACAAAAGAACAAAATTCTGATTTATGGAACTTTGTGCAATTTGTAACTTTCAAATGCATATGGCAATTTAAAGTGGGAAAGGTTCTGCTTCAAAGAAGAGATAGGCATTTGAGAAGTCTTGGTCATTGCTTATGTTACAAATGAGTCACTATTTGAAAAAAGGAGCTTTTACAAAACTAAAAAGCACTTCTTTGGGATCTATATTCATCTTTAAATTTCATCCCATACTCTTAGCACTTTCCCCTTATAGAGAGAGGAAAAGCAAATTATAATAAATTCTGAATTAATG